TACTGGCTTGGGGATGAGTGGCTGGAAAGCTGCCAGGCAGAAAAGGACCTGGGGGTGCTGGTCGACAACCGGCTGAACATGAGCTGGCAGCGTGCCCAGGTGGCCAAGAAGGCCAACAGCATCCTGGCCTGTAACAGCAATAGTGTGGCCAGCAGGAGTAGGGAGGTGATCGTGCCCCTGTACTCAGCACTGGTGAGACCACACTTTTAGTACTGTGTGCAGTTTTGGGCCCCTCACTGCAAGAAGGACGTTGAGGTGCTGGAGCGTGTCCAGAGGACAACGAAGCTGGTGAGGGGTCTGGAGAACAGGTCTGATGAGGAGCGGCTGAGGGAACTGGGGTTGTTTTAGCCTGGAGAATAGGAGGCTGAGGGGAGAAATTATTGCTCTGTGTTGGCCGGTGTTGGTCTCTTCTCTCATGTAACTAATGACAAGACAAGAGGAAGTGGCCTCAATTTGTGCCAGGGGAGATTTAGATTGGATATTAGGAAAAATTTCTTTACTGAAAGAATGGTTAGACATTGGAACAGGCTGGCCAGGGAGGTAGTGGAGTCACCATCCCTGGAGGTGTTCAAAAGATGTATAGATGTGGTGCTTAGGAACATAGTTTAGTGGTGGGCTTGGCAGTGTTAGGTTAATGGTTGGACCTGATGATCTTAAGTGACCTGATGGTCTTTTCCAGCCAAAATGATTCTATGATTCTATAAGAACCATTCCAGTGATACAAAGGGACTGCATCATAATTTTATCATCCTATATCCAGCATGTCCTCATCTGAAGCCTATAATAAGTTAATATATTACAGTTCAAACTAAATACTCCTTTTTGGCAATTTGAAACAAGGTGAATCTTAAATAAACCTGTCTTCTAGGATAGTGCAGAGGCTTTTTCCATATTTTTATTGGGTAAATATGTTAAGCAGATTGATCAAAAATATAAAACTTCAGGAAGAAGTACAATAGAGTAACATGTTTCCTGACTCCTTTGTGACTTTCCCAAACGGATGATGACTTTTATAATTATTTCATTAGCATTATGGTACTGAGGGTTGGTATTGTATGTATCCATATTTAATACTGGTATTACATTACTTTCTTGTGGTTAAGCTGCAATTATCCTTTTATTGTTTCCGGTCACATTGTAGTATGCTTCTTTTAGTACTTCCTCTGTCAGAGCTCCACAAAAAAAAAATCTTTCTGGCTGGTTGGCTTGCTTCAGCCCTTACTAAAACAGGCAACTCTGTCTCAGTTGTCTCCTTCCACTGGCTGTACATAGTGTGTAAATAGCTACTCTTGACTGTATGCATCACTGCAAAACTGAACTGAATCCTCCTTTGGAGTTGGGGAAAACAAGGAACAAAAGGTGCAGGTGAGTACTGTCGGAAAAGAAATGTTAACAGAATTGCTGGTTAGAAATTCACCCTTCTGACAACTGAGGGATAACAGGGTGTGGTTTCACTCTTTCACTGGCATCTAGAGAGATTACAGTATTTGAGTGCCTGCAGAAGAGCAGGGGCAAGAACATTTATGGTATCATTGAGACTTTCAAGCAGCCGTCCTTCCCTGGGTGATAGACTTGTACTGTTAGTCAATATCAGCTTTATTTAATATCAGGTTTTTATAGTAACTTAGAAGATCACTTGGCAGCTTGAAAGAGAATTTCTATCCTGGGTGAAGTGAAATATCCTAGTTCATGTGGACTGCACAAAAAGAGGGAAATGACTATCAAGAGGTATATGTTAGAAGCTGAGTAAGAGCGACTCTTGTAATGCCACATAGCTTGCAAATGATAAAAAGGTTATTTGTTTGGTGTGGTGATTTACCTTACCTTCTGATGTGTGGAAGGAGCAGGATGTATTGAGGGCTCTTGGTGACGTTAAGACTCTGGGACGTAGAGTGATAAATGACATCTTGTAAAGCTGGACAAGGTCTCTGCTCCATCTCTCTGCTCTTTTAATTTTTTTGTCCAGATGAGATAAGAGGTAGCAGTATCATTTGCCTCTTCTTGATTGAGGAGGCATTTGCTCTTAAATCTGATTTAATTCAGTTGTGAATCTTTGTATCTCTTAAAGGAGGCCTGCTTATTGCACAACTGGTCCTTTCTGTGACTAGGTGAATTTTGCAGTCAGCGAAAGTGATGATGCTCCTAAGAAAGAAACTGATAAATATAAGTAATTGCACCACTGGTCAAATGTTGGTGGTTCAATTGCAATGCTGAGCTTTGAGTTCTTACAGAGTAACTCCTATTACAGCTTCTAGGTAGCTGTCCAAGTAAGCTATAATTTTCTGTAAAATAATTTAGAATAATTTTTTTTTTTTAATGTATATTTTCAGGTAAAATTAACTTTGTATAGAACCTGTAAATTAGTGTCACAGGAAACATCTGACCTTGGAACTTCATTTTATTCCTTGCTACACTGAATGTCTTTAACCTTAGTAATGTGTCTTCTACTATACTTTCAAGCTGTTAGAATGAGTCTCATATAGAGGCAGAAATCACCAATGGTATCATTCTGGATGATTTTATCAAATTATCTAATGAGCTCTGTAGTTCTTACTACATTCTTCATACCCACTATATCTGAATTAGGTTAAACATGCCTTCCTCAGGTTCAAAACATATATATTAACACTGTCTGACACAGTGAAAGAGAGATCGTCATCTGTGTATGACTAATCCAGGATATAAAATGGAGAATCCACCTTGGATATTTTTATCATTTGTTTTCCTTTCCATTTACATTTGTTTCAGTGAGCCCTGCATAGAAGAGTGATAGGGGAGAGGCTATGCTCCCTCATTTCCTTTTGTGTTCACAGAGATGCTGGTCATTGTGGGCAGCTGTTAATTTGTCCAGATGAAATAAATCTGCATTCCTATTAGTGACAGTTAATTTTTACATTTCAGCGTACTTGCAATATAGAATCTTTTTCATTCAATTGCCTTAAGGCCATATTACTCCTTTTGGCATCAAGTGGTATGCAGCAATTTTGTAGAAGGGTTTAGAACTCAGTGTAGTAACTTGGTGGAAGAGCCAAGAATAAAACTGTGTTTCTTCCCTTTAAACTCAAAGAACCATGCTGTGAACAAATTCAAGTTTAGATCTTTTGCACAGCTATGGAACAATCAGTTACTTGGATATCAAAGATGCTGTATTTGCATAAAATGGAGTGCTTCAGCTTATAAAGATCAATTTGTTTTCATCTATACAAACAGTTGGAAACACTTTGTGTTTAGCCTCTGGTTTGTTAATACATTTAATTTGTCGATACATTTAATAATCTTCATGTACAGCACAGTGGGAAATGTTCAGTCAGGATGCAGTAATTCTGAGGAGCATTCTTTCCTGTTTTCCATGCTTTTTATCAAAAAGATATGGAATTCATTTACCCAGTTCTTTACATCCTAGTTATTTATCAGATAAACATATAGGATTCCTTACTGATACAAGAAAAAAAATCTGTTCATGTCTGTATTGTTTAATGACTGCTGGTTTTCTTGTTGGACTGATGTACTCTATAGCTGCATGTGAAAATACAAAAGCAGCAGGCTCTGAGTAAATACCAGGGATAGGGCAAAATCCTGGCAGGGATCCTATGGCTTGATAATGGTTACCTTTAATTGAAAAAAAAAAAAAAATCAGTCATCTTACTGTGTGGATTCTTATTTGGACATGTTTGAAAGTTTGTCAACCCTTATTTCATTTAGGATAGTGGAAGGTTCTTACTGTTGAAGACTGCTCAAATTTAAATGACACTTTTTGTGTGTGTTTGTGTCTTGATTTACGACATTAGGCCAATTTTTATTTTTATATGCTAGGTTTTATTCCTGACAGCCTTCTAATTTTGTGTCCAGCATTGAGTAAATGAGTATTTATGGCTTTACAGTAACAGAGGGCTAAGGAAATAGCAGAATCATAAAATGGCTGAGAAGGGAAGGGACCTCTGGTTGTCATCTGGTCCAACGCCTCTGATGAAGCAGGGCCAGCTAGAGCCGGTTGCCCAGTATGGCTTATGAACATCCCCAAGGATGGAGACAGATGCATGATGCTTTTGAAACAGAATTTATGACTTGACTTTTGTTCATAACTTGTCCTTGCCATGACTTTTAATTAGATTTAGCAAATATAAGAATCTTAATAGCTGATTTTCGTACCTTCAAAATAAATACTGTAGATATGTCCTCTAGGATGTAGAGAACTGTTGCTGGTTTTCTGAGCTCATCTGGACTGGTAGCATTTTTAAGTCTTGACCAAGTTTATTTGTTATCACATTCATTTCTGCATTTGCCATTAGTACCTAAAAAAGAAAAGAACAGATTTATGTCACTACACTGATATTCTGTATTTACAATTTTTTTTTGTTGGAGTGTGTACAATCCTATGCAGTGAAGTTTGGATTGTTTTGACACTTCTTTGGTCCGAATGTCCACTTTGTGTAATTTAGTGAAAATAGTGCTCATAATCCATGGACAACCAAGCTGGTTGGCAAGCACTTGTGGGTTTTTTTTTTTCCCCTTTAATTGTTTTTTTTTTTTTTACAAAGCTTTTGCATAACACTTCATAATGTTTTAGTGTATTAGAATAGTTAAAATGTAATTCTTTTGATAATGTCTATGAAAGAAACTGTCATGAGCTTTATTTTAATCTGCAAACTAATCTTGCAGTATTTAAACAACAATGGTCTACTTACATATGCAATTTACCACTAAACATTCATTTCTCATACTAATTTTTTACTTTTCAAGAAGTATAACAGTTCTTGAGTTTTCAGCACAGTGCTGTATTAATGTTTGAAATCTGGCATAAGCGTGTTTCATAGCTTTCTGGTATATCTCAGATACTTTGACTTTGAAATGGCAGTGGGGACTGTCCAAAAAAAAAACTAGAAAGGAAACTTTGTAAACAGAAAAAATGTTTCATGCAGAAATGCATGAAACCTTGCTCCAGTGAAGTTGTTGTGGAGTAATTCTGATTTTCTTTTTTTTTTCTTTTTCTTGAATTATAGATTTATCCATGGCAGTGCAAAAATTTTCACAGTCTTTACAAGATTTCCAGTTTGAGTGTATTGGAGATGCCGAAACTGATGATGAAATTAATATTGGTAAGTACATCATGTGCTCTGGTTGCAGTAACTTTTTATATTGTTTCTTATATATTTGATATGATATCACAAATATAGTGGGGCAGTTCAGTTTTTGTTTGTTGTTTGTTTGTTTTTTTTTAATAGAGAGTGTAACAAAAATAGAAAAGTAAGTAAGTAGAAGTCATGCAAGACTAAAAACACATGTCAAAAAACTATGTCTTCATGACGTAGCTTGGCTCATTGTAGAGAAAAGTATTCAGCAGCACCTTGTCAACTGCGAATCTTCTAAATCTGCGCTATTTTTAACTTACAGACAGTTTTCATTGGGCTACTAAAAAGTACGCCAGTTTCCTATGAAATAACATAGGTCTGCAAAAAACACTTAAGAACCTAGTAAGACAGAGGAAGTATTTAAGGGTCTAAAACCAGGAATATGTTCTTTACAACTTTTGCATTCCTAAGCATATAGTTGTCTGAACTTATGCCAGTAAAACTTACTAGCTGCTTAATGTTCTGCCTCTGCACACACCCAGAACTTCTGCATTTGCAGGACTGAATGCCTCAGCTTGTCCTGAATGTAAGCCTCTTTAATATCATCAAAATATTCTTTCCTCAGCAGTCTAATCCTGGAAATATTTCCAGGATTCAGAAATCCAGCCACTCTTTACTGCAAGATGTTGCTGTGGTTGCAGTGATACTTTTGGGCAGTAGCACAGCAGCAAGAGTACTCTGGCTCCCGTTGGTGAGAAACTTGGATTATAATCCATTTTTGGAATGGCTAAATCAATGTCATGAGTCTTAACATACAACATGGCCCCCACATCTCTCCCAAAACATCTGAGAGGAAAAGAAGATTGTTGTTAAAGAGTAGATGCTTCTAAAAATAAATAATTTCTCAGTACAAGAGGGAACATAGGACTTGTTAGTGTGTTTTTAAAAAATCCGTGTAATGCAGACAGGAAACTAAGATTTAGGCTTTTCCAAGTGTATCTCTTACTATAAACTATTTTCAAGTCTCCTCTCTCTTCAGTATTTTTTTCCTGACTGAGTTAATAATCATTGGACAAAAGATCTGAGCTGCTTGCTTTCACCTGCAAGGTTTGCCTCATCCTCACCCTACAACATTGTGATAGGAGACTCATCAAACATGGCTGGTGTTTGGTCACTCTTCTGCTAACCTTTGGCAGGGGGATGGGAAGGGAGGTTTAATTTTACTGACATACAAAAGGAGGGGAATGAAACCACTGAGCTACTTCTACTCAGATATAAAACTGCATACATTCTTCAGGTGTATCAAGCTTGGAAAAAGACCAAAAATGAAAGGAATGTATGCACTCTTTGGCATTCTACATGTTATTTCTTGTCTATTAAAGTTACCTTGTACCTATTTTGTGCATTTAAACTAAATTATAGTATCTCACTTATATGTCTTAGGGTTGGTCAATACCTTTTTAAAGACATAAAGTTTTGCATTTAAAATGAGGTGACTGAGGACAAAGACAGCTTTCCTTTTACTTGTAACCTAAATGTAGCAAAGACAAGACATTTTATTGTTTGGATATTAAACAGGCATTTAAAACTATTTAGAAAAAAACAGAGTTCATGAAGCTTGACAGCTGATTTATTTCACTTGGAGCTTCAAAGAAAGGATTTCTAGCTTCTAAAGCACCCATTGCCTGATGGATTGTCATGTACATCAAAGAAGCTTGTCAGAGTAAAAGGTAAACTGACAGGAATCAAATTCAAGTCTAATAGAGTTTGAATGATACTGTGTGCTTTTATAGGGTAAAGCTCAATTTTTGATCTCCCTAGAGCAGTGACCTAGAATTTATCCGTATCTTTAACATGCCCCAACAAGCTAGATGTTTGCTTATCATCAAAGACAGCTTTGTATAGATGAATCCTGCTCTCTGTGCCTCCTTCTACCTTCACCTTTTTTTTTTTCAAGAATATCTACGACTGTGCAGGCCACTGGGAAGTTTTGCTTCAGTCTGCAGTGATACTCGTGACTTGATAAGTTCTGTGCAAAACCACCATATACATAGGGGCTTAATACCGGGACTACATTCTGAAGATTTTAGAATACAATTCTATTTCAAGCTTAGTGTTGCAAGTCCACCCTAATCCACCTTTGCATTGGAAATTCACCCTCTGAATAAGGCTTCTTCTGTCAGCATGTGATTATTTCTGTTAAAAAAAGTTTCAACTTTTTTCAAAATTGAAATAAAATCCCCCCACCTCCCCACCCCCACTTACCAGTAATGAGTATTTGGAACTAAGCTGATAGCTCCATGAACTTTTCTTCTTAGGCAATACTAGAGTTGAAGGCTTCTGTTCAGTAACTAAATGCAACATCTTTTTTTGCCGACCTGAGCTTCAATAACAGCATTCAGTTTCATTTGCAGTTCCTGTAACCTGTGCCTTTTTATATGCTTTCTTTATACAAATCATCTATTCCAATAAGCCCATTACACAAAATACACAAGAAGTAGTTTTAGTTAAGCTCCAGGACACACTCAATACAAACAGATTTATGATGGTGTTCTTCATATTCATTTTAGTCAGTCTATTATTTAATCCAGTTATTTATTTCAGGGTTTTTTTAAATTTTCTTTTAATTCTTATCTTTGATTTCTAATTTTTATTATTTCTTACTTTTTATTTACAAATGTTTAATCCTTCCATAGAAGTGTGTTGTTCTTTAATAAAAAAAATCTACAGGTCTCTTTGTGTCTGTGTAGTGCACTTTGGATAATCTTTCCACGTTTTTGCCAGTTACCCAGGTTTATATATGTAGCCACTTGCAGATATAACATGCCCAGTTAGAGCCAGACATTTTGTGCATGGGTTGTAAGCTATTCCCCTGACTTTCTTGAATAAGCACACTGTTTTGTTCCTCAAATCATCTACAACTTCATTTTTTTTTAAACACTGAACATCAAAGGATTCATGCTATAAAAAGCTTTTTCAGATATTTGCCAGCACATTGCACTTGGGAAACAGTGCTCCCAGATTTACTAGCTTTTCTCATTAAAAAATAAACAGCTAGCAACAATTGTCAGTGTTATCTTTTCCTCTGTTTTGAAAGGCACATGGCAGCATGTGATCTGCAGCAATGCAAGGGCCATACTAATTGATAGTAGAACATGGATATTAGCTCCCATTGCATATGATTCAGCCAAGCTCTAGGTTTTTTGTGCAGTTTAAAAGTTATACAGAAAGTGGCATCTTTAAAGCAAAAATAACATGATGAATGACAGTGAATCATTAATACTAAAAGGCATCGTAATGAAGGTCTTATCCTTACTCTAAGGAGAGGGTGTTACTTCCCCCATCTTACTGGACTTTTCTCAGTCTGAAATAAGCAAGACTTGACAACACTTCGCCATTCACTCTTTTAGACATGTCGCCCTGTGCATAGTTGCTCTCAGCCCCCTTTGCAATTAATATTTTGCACAAAGATTAAATACTTTTAATTGACAATGAGTGAATGTAAAGGAGTTGAGTTGTTTGTCGTGCCTGGTGAGAGTTTTCTGAAAAATAGATGCATGATTTTTATACATTTCAAAACTTATAGGTAACATAAAATGTTACACAGATAGGATATATGCAAAACCGGTGTTTTTAATGAACAAGTGTCTTCTTCCTCTGTATGTGCTGTGCAGGCAATAAATTTTGCGAGGAGAAGGTTTGCCCAGCTACTCCTTTCCAAGTACTATCTAGCTTGTGTCATCTGATTCCTTCCTCAGAAATCTCCCTGGTTTTATCCTTCTTTTCTTCTGCTGATACAGATGAGAATAATAAACATAACTCAGTGGAATTCTGTCTTGTTTCTTTAACAAGTTCTTGTCTATTTTGTATTATGGCTAATTATAGATCAGTGAGATTTAATATCAGCAGTATAAGACCATGCTCTTCAGAATTAAAAGAAACCAAGAAAAATAAATACATTCTGATATTCTGGCATTTTTCTTTAGTATCTGTTTTTTATTAGTTTGCTATTTAGGAAAAAACACTGAAAGGCATGTGTATTTCATTGTCACTGTTGGTTTTGAATTTTTTTTTTCCCCTGAAGGGAATTAGATTATGACAGATGTTTCAGGTAGCATCAGGTGCTTGATTTAGAAATGTAATAGGATTATTATGATCCATGAAATCATTATTAATTGAGTCACAAGGAATAGATCAGAAGTTATAAATGTGATATCTTTCCTTGTGGAAAGTGAATTCTCCTCTTGCTGCTAGCAGTTGTGACTCATGTGATCTTTGCTGACTCACACCTCAAGTCGTTCATGGGATTATTAAAATTGCTGGCAATTAACCGTCTACAGAACTGTTAACTCATACCAGGCAATTATGTTGTATGCAACAGTTAGTTTCAAGTTGAACTTTGAAAAATCCCACTAAAATCTACTGAGGAGAAAGAACTTTAAAGAAACAAACAAACGAACAAAAAACTTTAATAGTAGTTGATTGTTAGAGTCCATTGCTGTGTTCTTAAGGTGCTCTTGTTTGAGTTGGGCAACAATGCCAAAGCTCAATCTTCTTTTTTGCTTCTACTGGACATCCACAATGCTTTTCAGATAGCAGCTGCTCTACCCTCTTGGAGAGCCTGCCAGAGGACAAGCACCCTGTCATTTAAGGCAGCAAACAGATCTGTCTTGGGAAAGTTGTGTATAAAACTGCACAAATAAGAGAAACAACCAGAAAGTTTCCCTTCCCCCATGTCTTATAATGATATAAAAGGTAAATTGGCATTAAGAGGTGACAAATTCCATTTTCTGTAGTGGTACAAACTGTGCATGCAATGTTCTATTAAAACGAAAAAAACAACAAAACCCCCAGGATTTATAGGAGCTTTATGCCTGCCTAAAGTGTGTGAAGGCAAAATTTGACAAACCAATTTGTGGACATTGCAGCCTCCAAGTTAAGAGCCTCTCTTTTAGAGCCGCTTAGAGGCTAATAAGGAACCTCAGAAGGTAGTTGTCAGGCTACTCACAATTTCAAGCCACTCTGTT